CCAGAGAGCCATTACCTTTTTGCTCTCCCACAGGACTGGCCTCAAGCTTGCAGTCCATCCCATGGCCCGCAGCAGCTCCCTCGGGGTGGTGGAAGAGCCACACCAGTCCCCGGAGTCCTGAGGAGGAGAGGGGAGGGCTCTCTTTTTCAGGAGCCCCAGAAAATGTCTCTCCACGTCTCTTTGCCTCTGTTAGATTTCACATTCACCCTTGAGCCTGCCACCCTCCAACATTGCTGCCCCTGGGGGGTCGATGTGCTCTTATTGGGTTTGAGCCCATCAGCACCTGTCCTGGAACTGGGGACGGGGTCATGCTCATCCAAGCCTCAGAGCTGAATGGTCAACACCAGGCAGGGGGATTGGTGCTGGCACGAAGAAAGAGAACTGTCGGGATCCCTGGGTGGCGCAGCGGTTTGGTGCCTGCCTTTGGCCCAGGGCGCGATCCTGGAGACCTGGGATTGAATCCCACATTGGGCTCCCGGTGCATGGAGCCTGCTTCTCCCTCTGCCTGTGTCTCTGCCTCTCTCTCTCTCTTTCTCTGTGACTATCATAAGTAAATAAAAATTTAAAAAAATTTTTTTTTTAAAAGAGAACTGTCCACTTCATGAGCCACTGTTGGGTGTTGGGACCTCTCCTGTCACACCTGGATGACAGATGGGGTGATGACAGCCTTTGTTGAGTAGGGACTGTGAGTCAGGTGCTTTGCTAAGTGCTGTACACGCTTGGGCCGTGCAGCCCTCACCCTGCACAGCACTCATTGAACTGAGGTTCCTGAGCCTCTGTTCTGGGCTGGGGCACACCAGAGAGTCCGAGCGAGGTGCAGACAACGCCCTGCCCTCCTCTGAGCCTCCATTCTTGTAGACACTTATCCCCACTTTTCAGATGAGAACATCAAGGCTCAGAGAGGTAAAGCCCCACAGCTGGAAGGTTACAGAGCTGAGGTCCAACCCCGGAGTCTTACTCCAAAACACGTATGTGAACTGTGTGCATGTATGTGTGTGTGAGCTTCCTCTCTGAACAACCATTGGTTACCTCACACCCCTCCGCCCGTAGGTCTGGCTGTCCCTCCCCATGCCCACCAACCCAGAAACTGCCCTGACCTGACCTCAGGGACTGCCGACTGGAAGACTTGGACGTTGGTGGACCTCCGAACAAAGCTGGGCCCCATGTGCATGCCCCGACCTTTGAGTGAAAGTAGCCACATGAAGGCTTTGCGCATATTTATTTATTTATTTAAAAATTTTGTTTAAAGATTTTATTTATTTGAGAAAAAGAGCATAAGCCAGGGTGGGGGGTGAGGGGCAGAGGGAGAGGGAGAAGCAAATTCCCCTCTTAGTGGACAGCCTGATGGCAGGACTCAACCCCAGGACCCTGAAATCATGACCTGAGCTGAAGGCAGACTCTTCACCGACTGAGCCCCCCAGATGCCCTGGCATCATGCATTTTATTCAAGTCCAGTTTTGAAGACTGCCCTTGTGCGCCAGGCAGCCAAGCCGACGGATAGGAGAGGCTCCAGAGACACAAATCTGGCCTCTGGCCTGGCTCACTCAGTTCTTGGCTGTGTGACCTGGCCCAGCTACTGCCCTCTCGGGGCCCTGGTTTCCTCCTCTACAACTGGAGGCTGAAAACTCCCACTCTCAGCCCCCGGACACCCACTGGCCGTGTGGGGACACAAGGCCCCACTGGGCCGCAGGGGCACTCATTCATCCACCATCGCTGGGGCTGCTTTGCCCGGGGCACGTCGAGCAGGCGGAGGCCTTGTGGCCAGCAGAGCCTCAGCCACTCGCCCTTGGCCTGGAAGGTGGAGATGGTAGCCGCGAGAACATCGGGCCCGCTCACTGGGTTGTTTCAAGATCTCTGGAGGGACCGTGTGTCCGCCCTGAGGACAATGCCTGGTTCTCCGTTTGTGCTCGGGGACAGGGAGCTGTGACTCTGCTGTGCCGGACGAGGGCGAGGAGCGTCAGGCGGGCCGCGCTCCAGGGGCAGGGACATGCGGTGACCCTCCAGGCCGGATGTCACTAGGGAGGCCGTGTGGAGACAGCCACCGTCTCCACTGCCCGCAGCCACAAATGGAAAGGATTGGCGGCCCCAGCCTCCTCGCAGAAGCCGGAGGCCAACTGCAGCCCCTCCAGGAGGGCTCTGTGCCCCCCCCCACCGTGCGCCCCCCAGAGTGGCGGTGACAATGCCCCGGATGTGGGCCCCAAGGCCCTGGCTGGCGCTGCCCGCCCACTGTCCGCTGGCTATTGTCTGCCGGGGCTCTGTGCGGCTCAGGGCTGGGGGCGGCCGGCCGGGGGGCTGTGGGAACGGATTAGCGGCCCGGGCCGCGGCCCCCTCTGCATGAACTCCTGATCAAAGGCATTCCTGGGCTGACAAGCCCCGTGTGTTGCAGGGGCCCGTCCAGCGTGCGAGGGACACGCTTCCCGCGGCCGGGCCCCCGGCACCAAGCGCCCTCTCGAACCCCCGCTGCGGCGCCCGCTGCCGGGAGTGGCCGGCGGGACAGTCGTCCCCCACCAAACACAGAGCCCAGGTGTGTGGGCTGCAGGCTCCCGGGGGACCTGAGGGGCACGGGCTCCGAGGAGTTCCTGGAGCCTGACATGGGGGCTGTTGCCGTGGCCCCTTGGGGCCCCGCAGCACCCACCCCTGCAGACCTGACTGGCCTTCCAGCTCAGTGCCACATCCTGGGTCCCTGGGGCCACTTTTCTGGACTTGGGGGTCTGCCCTCCACACCCCAGGGTGGGCAGGGTTGCCCCTCTGTGACTCACAAAGCCGGCTGGGCCTGGCCCGTGGGTGTGGCTTCTGCCCTTTCCATTCTGAGCACCTGCTGTTTGCCAGGCTGGGGACAGGGTGACAGAGGGGTCAGCGAGGCACCTGTCCTCAAGTGCTCAGGGCCCAGAATGGGTGACACCCAGGTAACATAATTTCTGGGCCTCCCAGAGCCACCTGCCAGGGCCGGGGGTGTGACCGCCTGCAGGGGACCTGGAGGGGAGGTCGGGGGCACTTCAGGCACAGAATTGGAGGCAGGAAGTACTTGTGTGTCTGTAGTCCCACGGGTGGAGGCTTGGGGCTGGAGCACCTGAGGCTGGGGGAACATAAGTGAGGGAGAGAGATGGGGGTGAGGGGGGGGAGAGGTGAGGTGAGGGAGAGAGGTGAGAGATGGGGTGAAGGGGGAGAGGTGAGGTGAGGGGGAGAGGTGGGGTGAAGAGAGGTGAGGTGAGGGGGAGAGGTGGGTGTGAGAGAAGTGGGTGGGGGGTAGACAGGGGTGAGGGGGAAGAGCTGGCTCAAGTTCTAGGACCTTGGATGGATCTGGAAGGAGCTAGAAGCCCCAGAGGGTTCGGGCACAGGTGGCTGTGAGACAGGGCAAGCCCCAAGTGAGGTGGTGGGGCTGGCAGAACAGGCTTTGGGCTTGGGAGAGGGGCAGCAGTCTCAGAAGTCCCTCAAAGGCCAGTTGTGACCTGGGGCAGATGCTTGAGGCAGCCAGACCTCCCAGCAGGGGGCAAGGGGCAGGGCCTGCCCTGCTGTCCCCTGAGGAGCCGTGGTGGCTTGCCAGGTAAGGCCTAGAGTCCTTTCCCAGGGTTCTGAGACCAGAGTTAGGGCAGGGGGAACTCCAGAGCCCTCCCTGATGCCCCCTGCACCTGCTGTCCATGCCTCATGGCTTTTCCACTGAACCCACAGAATGGCTCTGCAGGCCTGGCTGCCCCACTTGCTGGGCCCAATTTCTGCTGAAACCTGATGCAATGAAATTGTTACCCCTGCTCCCCTGAAACTGCTCCTCAGGACACCCCTGGCCTGTCCCTGGGGTTGGGTGGGTGCCTCCCTGGCTCTCACTGTCCCTCAGTCTGCTGGGTCAGAGGCCCTTTCAGAGCTCTGAGCCGTGCACCTGCTGTGTGGGGCCACGGTGGGGAAAGCAGAAGTCCCCATCCCGCTGCACCCCGCTGGCTCCCAGATGCTCTGATGCATGTGGGGAGCCAACATTGCCCATCTGGAGGCTTCCCGCCGAGAGGGGCACCCTCCGGGGTGGGCTGATACACAGTGGGAGCCTCATAAAGGCCACGGCAAAATGCCCTGACAAGGAGTGATACCCTTGGCATGAGACCCAGCTTCTCTCCTAAGCACTCATTGAACCCGACCACCTGGGAGGTGAGGACATGCTGGGGCCCCAGACTCTGGGATGAGGCCCAGGCCCCCGTGGTGTGTCCTAGTCCAATCCCTGCCTCCACCTGGGGCTGGAAACGAGGCTGGCCACGTGCATCTGAAGCCAAGTCGGACGTCACAGGTGTCCACTAGGCCTCCCAGGGCACCGGGTCCGTGTGAAAGGCCACCGGACTGAAGCCCGAACACGCGCTTTGCTCTCCTCCCTGAGCTGGGGGGGCCTCGGGACCGTGATTCACCAAGAGCAAATAGCAGTTTGCACCACTATTGGTGGAGGGTGAGTGAATGCTGGCTTGTTTATTTTCCTATCTGCAAATAGCGTTGGGGGGTTGCTGGTGGGAGGTGCGCTTGGGAGCTAGTCCTGGCCAGCAAGCTGGGCCTCACCCCTAGGGCCACAAGCTCCCCTCAGGTGGCAGGAGGGCCTGCAGAGGTTTCCCCACCTTTTCAGTTTCCTCACCCGCCTGGGGGGTCCAAGCAGCCCCTCCCACCCATGCCTGCCCCTCCCACCCATGCCTGCCCCCTACCAATTTCCTCCCAGCCGAGCATTGCATACTCCCACTGGATCATCAGGGACCTCTAGCAACATCAGGAGTCCTTTTGGGCTGTGACAACCAGAGGCAGTCCTGTCATCTAGCAGGTAGAGGCCAGGGATGCAGCTCAACTCCCTACAGGGCACAGGACAGCACCCCACGATAGAGGACGAGGCCCTGAGTGTCAGCAGTGCCCAGGCGGGAACCCCCACCTGCCTGCCATTCCCCTCCAGCCCAGGAACGGGCGGTCGGACCCTGTTCCTTGGCCTTGGGCCCTGTGCCCCTGGCTCCCTGCCCACCCCAGGAAACAAACAGGCACCGCACTGGGGTTTTACCAATTTTATTTCTAGGCTTTTCACGTTTGTCTTTTTTTCTGCTGGAAACGTGCCGGTTACATGTCTGTGCCACAATGTGCCACCAAAACACACACAGACCAAAAGTGCCCCCACCAGAGACCCTCACAGACTTGCTGGTCACAGGACAGACTCCGCTGTGCTCCCCAGACCTGCCACCGGCCTTTGGCCTTTGAGCACACACAACGTTCACCCCCCATGAGGACAGACCGTCCCTCAAGGACCCCGTTTGGTTCAGACACAGAGATGCCGTAGCCAGAACGGTTGAGGTAAGCGGAAGCAGTGTTCCTGCAGGGGCGGGGCGGGGTGGGGCGGGGCCCGGGCCTGCCAATGGCCCGGGAGCACCCAGGCTGACCCTGCTGGGGCAGGGGCTGCCAGCGGTGCAAATCCTTTTGGTTCGGCAGCGTGCTAGGCGACTCGGGCACACAGCACTGTTAGCTGGCTTCGCTGAGATCTGGAGTCTTTTTTTTTAAATTAGCATGACGCTGTAATGAAGAGAACAAACAACGCTGGTACATAATAACAGATGCAACACCCGGAACTTTAACCAAGTCCAGAAGCTATTCTGATCATCCCGAGTTTCTGGGTCCTGCAGCACAGCACCATGGTGGCACGTGACAACACACTTGTTACAATAATAATAATATAATAATGCAACTTTCATAGCTACACGTAAAGAACAATACGGCTGTAAAAAAACTATGATGGTAGCACGTCCCGGGTCAGGTGGACAGCCCAGCGTTATAAGCGCAGGGAGAAAGAAGCGGTCGCGGCCCCGGGGACGCCGGGCTGGGCACACAATCGCAGCCTGGAGCCCACCCCGCCAGGCCCGTTTCCGGGATCCCGTCCTCATGTCTGCCGAAGCAGGGGGCCTGCGGGTCAGATGGAGCCTGGCCGCCTGGTCTACACATGGCTAAGAGAAGCATGAGGTATCGTGAAACAGGAACCTTTTTGGAATAGAGCAGTAATCACATTAAGTCAAAATTGATCACATAAAAAAAATCTACAAAAAAAAAGGCGCCCTTAATACATTTTTCTATGAGAAAATTAAAACTAGAACATGGCAGTACATGACATCGTAAAACAAAACAAAACAAAACAACTGATCTTCCAATAGCAGCAAAACAATGTGAAAGAGATACAGAAAAGCGATGTGAATCTGTTTCCAAACTGTGCTGGGAAGTCATCGGTAGCAGCGAATCAGGAAACCGAGCCGCAGCCCGCCTGCCGCGTGGTCCCGCTGTCGGCCCTCTGCACGCCCCCGCACCGTCACCAAGCACCAGCCCTGTGCTCTCCCTGCCTTCGACTCATCCTACGTAGTCATTACAAAAAGGTACATAGCCAAGATGTGCAAATTGTCTATTTGTCGCTAAACTTTTTTTCAAAAGGGGACAAGAATATGGTCGGGGCTGAACTTGTTTCGAGTACCCTAATTTTCTGTGGAACTCTGAGGCCTCTCAGGTGGGGTTCCCGCTTGGGGCAATGCCAGACAGGCTGAATCAGCCCGAATCCATGCCGTGTTTTTCCTCAGGATCTTTTTCTGTCTCCTACGAAAAAGGACCGAACTTTTATAAACTGTATGAAACCTGCAACGTCAAAGGCAGAAAAGTGTATGTATGTATGTGTGTGTGGGTGTGTGTGTGGGTGTAAATCAAGGGGAAATTGCATTACTTTATAAATCATACTGGCCTTACGAACATCCTCTGCAATAAATATTCTTTTTAGCCTTAACTATAAATTATATATTTTAGTGTTTAAAAACCTTCCTAACCCTTACACTACGCGTTCTCTAGGTAAGCCTTTAAAGGCCCCTACTTCCAAACACCAGTTGGCACCAAGGACTCCCGAACTTCCACTGCTCTACAGAGAAAGGAACGCATCATCCTGGCAATGTAAGAATGCACTTCTTGACCGGAAGCTCATCTTCAAGAACATCCCCTCTCACTAACTCCATAGTGACATGCACTTGCCTCGCAATCCTGTCTGCACACAAGGACGTGAATATTCCCAAACCATTCCATTAGGAAATTGTCCCCCCCACCCCCACCCCGCTCCACACACAACATAAACAAGAGAGATTCCCTATAACCGCTGGATTGAAAGTGCTTTGAAATGGAATGGTTCTAGAATATTGAGAAGGAAAAAAAAAAAAAAAAGGAGCTGTGGATTTCACCTGGATGTGAGCAGGCTGCAGGTCTGTGGGGGTGAAAAACCAGCATCTCATCAACAGGCAACTACAAAAATAGGAAGATTATAAAAATAGAATATATTATGTCGCTATGGCGGGTTCTCTTTCCGGCAGCGCAGGCCAGGAGGTGGAGCTGGTTTTCTGTGACCGCTGCGCTGGCCGGGGCCCTGGCCACCAGTTCTGGGGCGGCCGAGCGAGGGTCAGCAGGCAACCACGCTGAGCTCTACACTACGCTAACCGAGGTTACATCAGCCACGGACAGGTGAAGAGGTGACACGCCTACCTACAGAATAAAATAAACACGCGCAAATGACTTATAAAGTGACTACATGCACGAGCAAGCGAGATGCAGGATACCTAGAGCCGCCTTAAAGCACAAGAGCACGTTGGCTACCTAAAATCCTCTTCTACTTCAAAAATGGTTGGTTGGCTTTTTTTTTTTTCTAGTTTTTAAGATGTTTTTATGCTTTTTTGTATGGTTTTGTTTTAAACACGCAAAGAATCAAATCTAATCCTCCCCTGCAGACTCATTCTTCCTGTTAATGCCTATCCTTTACGACACAGAGACACAAACACATCCATATAAAAGAAAATCTAGTTGATTATGGGGTATAAGATCCTCTATTTTTGTAGCAAACCTCCCCCCCACCCCCCAGCTCAGGGTTATGCAAATACTATTTTTTTCTCTCCTTTTTTTTTTTTTTTAAAGATCTTTTTTTCGGGTACTTTTTTTTTTCTTTTGCTTAAGTCAGAGACGGAAGGGAGAAAGAGCAAAGGAAAAAAAAAACCAACAGTAAAGGAGAAGGAAACTTTCCCTTCTGGTCGTGACCGGTCCTAGCGAGGAGCGGTCCTGTCCGGGGAGCACCCGGGGCCGGCCCCTCCCACGTCGCGCACACCCTCAAATGTTCACATCTCGCACATCGGTGGGCGTGCAGGCCAGGTCGGCCTCCTCTTCCTCCTCCTCCTCCTCCGCCGCCTTGGGGTCCAGGCTCTGCTGCTGGGCCTGGCGCAGGCTGGACTCCAGCAGGGCTTCGATCTGCTCCTGGCACGCCCGGAGACAGTCCTGGCCAGACAGGAGACAGGGGTCCTCAGGGTGAGGCCTGCAGGGAGGGCCCTCTCCCAAACGCCAGGACTTGGACTGTTTTTGTGAAAGTGAGGCTCATCTACAGCACTGCCTTCCCCCAGATCTGGTGAAGGACAACGTGGAGCCACGGCTCAAACCCCAGAACTGACCAGCGTGGGCTCCCCACTTGGCCACCTACTGTCCCTGCCTGAGGAGCATACACACCTACTTGGGACCAAAGGGGGCTGCTGGCCGTCTTCTGTGCACACAGAGGCCCTCAGCCACGGGCGGGGTGCCTCCCTGGCCTGCCCTGAGCCGCCCCAGGGCCCTAGCCCCCGGCTGGATTCCTCTGCCAGGCTCTGAGCCCGGCTCGCTGTTCCCACCAGCCCTGCTGCTGCCCTCAGCGGATTCAGTGCCATTTGATCCAGGTCAGAGAGGGCCCCCCGAGCCCTGCTTTTTGGACTTAACCTCTGCGGTGTCAGCCCTCGCAGTGAACCCAGCCTTCTGTGATGAATGGCCATCAAAAGCGTTAGTCCGTGCATGACTGAGGATGAACGTTGGGTGGCCTGGGGGAACCCAGACCCTTTATCCCCCTCCATCCTCGCCGCTTGGCCTGTACCCAGCACTGCCCCCCCCCCCCTCCTGCCAGATCTCTTCTGCTGGCGCCCTCCCTGAGGTCTCAACACCCCTAGAGGAATCTTGTGAGTCCAGGGGCCTCTCCTGGTCTCATGGGGGCAAATCTCCCAGGAGCTCAGAGGTGCAGGTGTCAGGCTGCCTGTCCCAACCCCTGGTATGCCACACTGGGGCTTCTATTCTAGAACCAGGTAGACCTGCCAGTCAGGCCTGGAAAACAGACCTGTGCCTTTCCCATAGGACAGACAGGTGAACCATGGGTGCACCGAGGGGAAGGTGCCGCTGAGCTTCCAACCCAGTGGGGCTAGAAATGGGGTGGGTGTTCACTGCCCAAAAGAAGTGGATCCAGGCCAGCAAGGCTTCTGAGTGGACCCCTGAGGACCTGCCCTGTTCACAGAGCTCTATGTTTTTACACGGAGGGCCTTCTTACCCCACCTCTTTGGTATTTGTCATGGCAAGTGAGGATGGCAGAGTGGGTGCAGACAGCCACTTTTACAGATGAGGAAACAGAGGCCCAGAAGGCCTGGCGTGGGACCCAGGACTCCTGATAGCTTCCCCAGGCTCTGATCCAAGCACCCAGCACAGCCCCCCAGTCCGACCCCTGAGGCCCAGCGGCACCCACCCACCCACAATGGCTCTTGGCAGGCAGCTCACAGGGGCAATGGGTTTACTTGGATCTGGTGACTTGGGAGGCCATGTGGTGGAGGGGAGGGCAGAGGGGTGCAGGAAGGGACTCCCTTTGTGTGGCCCTAACTTCCTCCCTGCAGTCACTGAGATCCCCAGTGTCAGCCCAGGAAGAGCCAGCTGGAGACCCCGGGGGCCAGCTCTGGGGATGGGCAGCCTGAGAACAGGGCTCTGCGGCCCAGGGTTTTCTGCATCTGGGCTCTGCTGCATTTGTCCCCAGGTAACTAGACTAATGAATTCCAGCCTCAACCAATTTCTCCCCCGTCCATCAGCTGCAATCTTGGTTCCAATCTCACTTATACAATCTCTCTCCACAAAAGGGATCGTGTAGTGATTTCCCACAACTCTCTCTGTGCTGTGTCTCCCTCGCTGAGGGTCCCCAGCAGCCATGGACACCCCATCCCTCTAGGTGCTCAGTAAGCACAGAGACTGAGAGGGGAGCCACCTGCTCCCAGGAGGGAGAGATGCAAGAATGCCACCCCCTCCAGGCAGCCAGCAGTGCGTGGCGGGGGTCGCACTGGCTGCTGCTCACAGCCTGGGGTTTCCAGAACGGTGTGGTGAGGCAGCAGCCACTAGGGCCCACAGGGCCTCCAGGGCACTGGACGGCGGACCACCAGAAGGCAGAGAGAACCCAAGGCAGACCTGCACCGGGGTCAGGGCGGTCACTCGCTCCCACTCGGCACACCAGCGGGGCCAAGGGCTGACCCACCAACCTCGCGGGTCTAATCTGGTAAAGGCCACAAACCCCTGTAACTGTGACTTCCATTCTTTCTCTAAGACAAGAAAGGAATTGGGAATAAAACAATGGCATTTTTAAGAAGGAAGACACAATCGGCTCCGGCTCTGGGCTCCAAGGGCAGCAGCCACTCAAAGGGGCCGTAAAACACGGGGTTGTCTCCACGGGCCATTGTTGCGTCTGGAGACCTCACAGAAGCCTTTTCAAGCTCCCATTTATGAGCCATCCGCATTGTGGCCCAGACAAAGCTCAACTGGGCCCCAACTCCACATGCCATTAGGGCACGGATCATTGACGGGCCTGCCTTGTGGCCCCTCTTCCTGGACAGCTCACCGGGAGGGCTTTATGGCTCCTGCCTGCTCTGGGAGTCCCGGGCTGGGGGGGAGGTGCGCCAGAAGCCTGAGGACCCCCCTGGCCTGCCCGCAGTTCTGGGAGGTGCTTCTCCTTCCAAAGGAGTCCCAGGAGAGTGGGGTGAGGCTGGCACCCTGTCAGCGTGGCACCAGGTCCCATGCCTCTGAACCCAGGCACCAGTCCCGTCCCCCAACACGGTCCCCCATGCCCCCATCACCTCTGGGGGTCTTGGCACGAGCCACTGCATGTCATCAGTGAACTGGTTTGGAGCCCTAGGTGCTAAAAGTTTCTAGTACCTGGTGCTGGGCAGGCCCTGCCAAGCTAGCATGGGAGCACCAGGTACTCGATCACTTACCGCATCACACTTAATCACTTTGGAGAGGAACCGAGTGAGGCGGTGGTAGGACAGGAAGCTGTTGGAACTTCCCAGGTGTAGACCTTGCACGGCGGCCACCACACTGCCAGCTGCCACCATGGAGGGTGGGTTGGAAATGAACTTCACATCTGCAGCAGAAATGGAGAGAGGCAAGAGAGCCATGAGCGGGGCACCCTCCACGGGACCCCATGATCCCAGCAGGCTGAGCACTGGCTCTGCATCAGGTGTGTCCCAGCCCGTGGCCAGCCTGGGCTGCGGATTCTGAGGGCTGGTCAGAGGGGCTCTGGCTCCCCGCACCTCCCAGTGCCCGAGAGCAGAAACCAGGCATGGGATCCACCCAACATGGGCTGGAGATGTTGACTTGAAAACAACAAAAAAAGCCAACTAAGGAAATAACCATTGGCAAAAACAAACTGCAGAGGCCTCTGGGGAGGGGACATTGCTGTACTTGAGCCTTGGGAACATGTCGTGTATTCACAAAAAATTTATAACGGCCTACAAGGGTAAGTGTGCCGGGCCACAGGAGTCTCCCCTACCCCTAGGTCTCCCAGCCCTCGAAGAGTGTGTGTGTGTGTGGGGGGGCGTGGGCACTGCTCCTCGTGGGGGCATCAGATGCTTCTTCCCACCCTCTTTTCCTCCCGGGACACAGCAGGTGTAGCATCACCTCACTACTTCACCTGCCAATCAGCCAGCACACAGTCCCCTCTGCCCCAAGGCTCAGCTCAGTGATGGATGGTGGAATCCCTGCCTTTCCTCCTAGGCTGAGCCCAGCACCTCCCACACTTGGCATAAAAAGGTGGGAAAGCAGGAAGGACGTGTAAGTGGCCATGCAGTGCCTGTGGGCTGTTGTCCCGTGGCGCCCAGTGAGGCATTCTCGGTGGGAGAGGCCACTGATCTCCACATCTTGGGCAGGGGGTCCATGTGGCATCTTTGTCAGCCCCTTGGCCTCGTCTTGTGCACACAGAGCACCAGGACTGGGCTGAGTGAGCTGAGCTGGGGGCACTGAGCAGAGGGAGTGGAGTGTTGTGGGCCCAGGGGTGCATCTCCGTGTTTCCCCCCAAGGCTCCATCCCAGGAGCAGACGCAGGCCCCACTGAGCAGGGGCCTCCGGAGAAAGGGAGCCACCCTGGAGGGGCAACAGAACCCGCTGCCAGGGGCCGTGGCCACTTGGAAAAGAAATCCCTAACACAGCATAACACCTCTTACCCCCTCTTTAAATGGGAGCAGTCCTCACCCAGTCTGTGAGCCGGGAGCCACGAATGAAAAGCGCTTCATTGAGGCACATCGGAGCTGCAGGCAGAGGCTGCTGCCATCCGAACAATTTGGCTGGACCTTGAGACAGCCGTCTGAGAGGGAGGGGGGATGTGGGGCCAGCTCCCCATGGAAGGGTGTGTGCACGTGTGGTGCAGGGTTTATGGGTTTGGATAAGGAGTGTGGGTGTGCACATGTGTGTACGCATGTGCACGATTATAGGCTTATAGGGTGTAGATAAGGGGCAACCCAACTGCACCCCCAAAGCTCTGACACTTGCTTCCACTCTGTCAAGTGCAGAGAGCCTGCGGCCACTGCCAAAGCAACCACTGGAGCTGGGTGGCATTGCGACCCTTGCTAAGACCCCCTCACTAGACTCAACTGTCAGCTTCCTGAGCACCAGCAGCTTGCTTACCTAACCCACTGCAGCACCCTACAAAGCTCTAGTGTACACATGTATGCACACGTTAACAGAAGAACAAAACTGAACTTTGGTATGGGGGACGTGTGCACGTGTGCAGATATATGTAGGAGCCCCAGTTTGCAAGCACACAGAGCAAGAAGAACAGAGTCCGTCCCCCCACAATGGTACCATTAAGTACCTGTGGAGTACAAAAATATCTTTTGGGGCTTTTGCTCATGCTTCCAACTCAGTTTCTGTTTTTGAGCTGCAATCATTCAGAGAGAAGTCCCCTTGTGATGGAGGGCACAGCTGCATTTTGAACCGTGCAGGTGAGGATCTGGGCCTGGGGAATATTTCTGGGGGACCTGGGTAGGCAGGTAGCCCTCTCCTCCTCTGGCCTGATTGTCCCCCTCGGGGCCCCACCCTGGAGTTAATGCATGTGAGGCGCTGGGTGACCACCGGCCATCCCTTCACCTTCCCCCAGCACGCTGGAGGTGCTTGCTGGGCCCAGCGTTAGACAGGCTGGGCGTGCTCATGAACACTGACCCACGGCGGCTGGAGAGCCAGCACCAAAGCCCGTTTATGGCCTCTGCACCAGGCTTGCCTCCCTCAACTGCCAGCACTGCATGCAGGCTACACACCCCACTTCCCTGGGGTTCTGGGAGAGGGGGAGCTCCAGACTGCCCCAGCCATCCTGGGGGGGAGGGTGTGCAAGAACTATTCCTTGCATTATCTCCAGGAAACTCTGCCGTTTCTCTGAACCACTTTCAGCTCCATAAAAGGCTGCCTGGAAGTCTCCAGAGGCCTCTCTCTTCCGAGGCGCCCCAGCCAGAGAATGCCTCCCCTGCCTGCTTGCGGGGCTGGCCCCTGGAGGCTGAGGGGACGGCCAGTGGGAGGCTCCTGGCCCCTGCCCCAGGGCCAGAGATGCCACCCCTCAGATCCATCCAGGCCGACGACCGTGTACCCCTACTCTTCTCACTGGATAGGGCTCCGGGGAGGGGGGGGTTCACACCTTGAACAGGAGGTGGAGGATGGGGAGGCCAACAGAACCTTCCCACTCTCGCTTGACCCAGAAATAGCCATCACCAGAGCACCCCGATATCAGGAGGGTGCTGGGAGATGCCGGACTAGGGGTTCTGCTGCTTCAGGGGAGTGATGGATGCCAACTGGCCCCTTTGATGCCATGTGGCCCTTCGGTCACCCACAGTGAGCCCCAAACACATGTGACAGCTGAGGCCTGATCAGGGGCGAGGGTGGCCCACTGCAGAGCTGGGATGGGGGCACAGGTCCCCAGGCAGGGTTCTCCAGATCTCCTGGGCCCAGCCCATGCGATCAGAAGGAGAAAGAAAGAGGTCACAGGGTGTCAGGGCCAGGGCCGGGGGAAATGAGGCAACACGGAGTGTACGTATGCATGGTCTGTGCTGAGTTCTGAAACGCTGGCTGCCCAGGGGCTGGGGCCGGGGCAGTGCCAGGGAGAGGCCCCCAGGGACCATCCAGAGCCCAGCCATGGGCAGGGAGGGCTGGACCCCCGCTGCCAACCACAGCAGCCCAAGCCTGGGGCTGCTCTGAAGCCCCTCCCAGGGCTCAGTTGAGCTCGGCCGGCCTGAGGCACCCCTGGCGGGGCCTCAGGCAGCCAAGCTCCTCTGCTGGCCGCCCCCGCACAAGGGCTGCTGCTGGCAGCCCAGAGCACGTGGTGCAGGCACTGCGGGCCGCCACTCCCCACCCCTGTAGGCGCCCCTGGCAGGTGGCCCAGCCCGGGAGAGGCCAGAAGGGGGCCCCTTGAGGACATGGGGAAGGACTGGGGATGGAGAGCGGAGGACAGAAGTAGGGAGGCAGGCTGGGCAGCCAAGGTAAACCCCTTTCAGCTTGGAGTGGCCACACCCTGGCAGACCACCCAGCCCCATCCCCAGGGCACTGTGTGGTGGTCCTGGGCGGCCTCAATCGCCTGACCCAGGAAGAGACTGCCCCCCAACCCTGCACCTAACCTCAGCACACAGTCCAAGGAAAGAGGAGCACCTCAGAGAGCAGGAGGGGCCTGGGGACCACCTCCTCAGATGAGGAAACCGAGGCGAGGGGCAAGATGCTCCTCTACCAGGGGCAAGGGGCACCCAGGGAGGCAGGGGCTGGCGGGGGCTGCTGCAGGACCCAGCCGCCCTACCTGTGGCACAGAGCGCTACGAAGGTCTGCGCGTGCTTGCGGATGATCTGTTTGTTCTCCTCTGCCACTGGCATCTTGGAGAGGAAGTGCTCGATGAAGTCGTGTGGGGTCATGGCTGCCAGGTTCCACTTCAGTTTGTTCACCAGGAGCAGCTCCATTTGCTGTGAAAGTGGGGTGTACCAGCGTCAGGAGAGGTGCAGGGGCAGCTCCCGTGGCCTGCCCTCCACTCCATGCATAAGGGCCCGCGAGCGAAGGGACGGGGCATGCTGGAGGGCCGGGAAGTGGAGGACGGCATGCCACCCCAAAAGGAGGGGGCAAGGAGGGGGCGCCATCGAAGAGGCCAGCTGGCCAGCTGTCGAGATCCGCACCTGGAACGCAAGCCCTTGCAAGAGCGCGCGCCGCCCGCGCCGCCGTCGCTAGGGGGCGCGCGCCGCCCACTTTTTGGCCGCGCTAGGGCGCTCACGGGGTGGGAGTCCGAGCGGCCGGCGGCCCGTGTGGCGGGGCGCTGGGGATGGGGGGCGGCGGGGGTCCGGCCCGCTGCTCGGGAGGGCTCCGCCGGTGCGGGCGCCGGCCCTGGGGTGCAGGGTGCGTCGGCGGCCCGCGGGCACCCCCCCGCACCTTCCCCACCCCCGGGCTCAAGGGGCGTGCGTGGGTCGGTGGGCGGCAGGGCTCCCGGTTACCAGCAGTTCGTCGGGCCGGACGGAGTTGTCCGTGTAGATGCACAGCTTCTCGGCCGTCAGCGGGATGGTCTCCTTCATCTTCGAGGCCACGAACATGCAGGTGGCCCCCAGCAGCTGCAGGCGGCTCTTTTTCACGGGCTCCAGCGACAGGAAGCGGTCCAGGTAGTTCATGGCCAGCGGGAAGACCTCCTCCTCGCACTTCTGCTCCTCGCAGACCTGCCGGGGCACGGGGGCCGTGACCGCCGCCGCCGCCGCCGCCGCCGGGACCCCGCGCCCCCCAGCCGGGCTCGCGCCGAGGCCGCGGGACCCGGGCGCGTGGGGGGGCCCCTCCCCCGCGCGTGAGCCCCCTCCCCCGCGTGCCCCCGATGCCCACCCACCCCGAAACTGAAAGGGAAAGTCCCCGGGCGGCGGGCACGGCGGGGGCGGCAGTGGGCACGGCGGGCGGCGTGCGCCGGGGACCCCGGCCCGCGTGGGGGCGCGGGGGCTGCAGGCCGGGGCTCGCCACCCCGGGGCGCGGGGCGCGGGGCTGCGGGGCTGCGGGGCTGCGGGGCGGGCCGCGGGGCCGGGCGCCGCGCTCACAGCGCCTGCGAGACACAAAGGTGGCGTCCCAGGCCGCCGCGCCGCATTTCCCCAGACGTCATCTTTTCAAAAAATATTTAAAAATATTAAAAAAATACCTGGGCCCATAAAAAACCCCTGAAAATGACCCCCGGGCGGCCCTCTACCCAGGCCAGGGGTCGTGAGCTCGTTGCAGGCTCCGGGGAGAGCCCCAGGAATTCAAACTCGGGCCCCCCCCCCCGCTGGGCGCGGGCGCCGCTTCCCTCTCGCAAGGGCACCACGCCGCACTTTCAAAAATCGTTTTAAAATATCTGCGGGTGTCCCGGGCGCCCGCTGAGGGCCTGCGGGTGCGCCCCGGGCCGCCAGCTCTCCGCAGGCGCGTCCCCCACGCTGAGACCCCTGCGGACCAGGGTCAATCCCCAGGGTCCTGGGGGCCACGCGACCTTGCAGCTCGGCGTACTCTCCGGCCCAGGCTGGCCGTGCGGGGCGCCCCGGGACTCGCAGCTGGAACAAAGGGGCCCCTCTCCCCTCGCGGGGTCCCCCCCGGCCGCCCGCGCTCCGTCCCCGCGCCCCTCCCTCCCGCTCCCCGCGGCCGCGCGGCCCCTCGCGGCGGCCCCAGCGCCTCGCCGGCCGCTCCCCGCCCCCACCCTACCCCCAATTATTAATAAACACTTTTGCTTTGCAATAAAAGAACAAAGATGGCGCATAATACTGGCACGAGCGGCCCTTGCATACGTGTCCGTGGATATTAATTTAAAAATCGGATCGATGCCCCCTCCCCCTGGAGCCGGCGGCGCGCGGCCGTGCGGCCGGAGAGGAGGCGCCGCCGGGCTCGGGCGCAGGCGGGGGCCGCCGGCCCGCACCCTCCAGCCACCTGGGGTGCCCCTGGCGAGCCGGCTTTCCGCGAAGGGTCCCCTCCCCGACCGCTCCCCCCCACCCCACCCCCACTATCCCCGCCAGGAGAGGGCATTTCAAACGACCCCACCCCCACCCCCTCCTCGTTCAAAAAATACCCACGATATCTATGTATTTTGAAAATGCGGTTCCTAGCAACACCCCGGCAAACTTCAGACTTGGGGCGGGAGAGAAGGCAAAGAACCGTGGGTTCGGGCAACAAGTGGCAGGAGCGTCCGACGAGAGCCCGCACCTCTAGCATCCAGGTGGCCACGATCTTCCGCATGGACGGCAGGATCTCCTTCTGCACACACTTGAAGTAGGACACGGACGGCGCGCAAGTCTCCTCCGCCTTAAGCATGGCCCGCAGCACCCGGTCGTTGAGCAGGTTGGCATCGGGGTACGCCCGGCGGATGGTCTCCACCTCGCAGCACAGGAGCTGGTGTGCCATGGCGGGGGCTGTCCTGGCGGCCTGCGGACGGCGCTGGGTCCCGGCTCGGTCCGCGCTCCCTCGAGCTCGTCTGCCCCTCGCCGGAGCGCGCGGACGCTGCTGCTCGCTGCTACTGCGCCGACAGCCCTCTGGAGGCTGCAGGACTTTGCAACTTCCAACAAAACTCCCCTGTAGTCCCTGTGACGTTACTGTTGTTAAGCAGAGATCAAAGCGGGGCAGAGAATGGGAGCGGGCGGGGGGGGGGGGGGCGGGCGCAGGGGGAGGGGGCGCGGGCTCGGAGCGCCGGGGAGCGGAGAGGGGCAGAGCCCAAAAGCCATCCCGGAGGCGCCGCGCCTGCCCCGCGGCTGAGTCGCCCCCGAAGCCTGGTTTTCATAGAAATGCAAATCGCTCGAGGCCGCCTTTCTCCCCGCCGGGGAAGAGGGGGTGCAGGGGTGTCTGCCCTCTCCGAGTGGGTCCCCCCGGATTTGGGGGGGGTGGAGGTGGCTCTGCAGGGGGGGACCTCGGGGGCGGGGTGGGGGCGGGCAGGCTACACGCAGCCGGGAGAGAGCGCATGGAGGGGGGAGGGACCCCAGGGCCCCGCGACACCCTAGATCCGAGCCGGGAGAATGGGCGCGTTCCCGAAAACGCCACGAGGGCACCCACGGGCGGCCGGGCGGCCTGGGGACCTCCGCGTCTACATCTTTCATTTTCATTAACACGTGTAAATTTCAGGAACCACTTAGCGCTCGGGGACGCGGAGCGGAGCCCGCGACCCTGCTGGAGGCTGCGCTCCCGCGCCAGGGGGGGTCGTTGCAAATGCCCGCGGGGGTATCCCCAAGTCATAAAGGGATTTCAGCCTAGCATGCGCTCGCCCAGAAAATAAAATAAATAAAATAAATGTCCGAAAATTCCAGCGGCAGCCCAAGATGGTGGCCAGCATTTCCTTCATCCTGTCCTCCTCGCCTGGGGGATCTGCGGGTTGTCTTCCTACCTTGGCCAGTCCATCCTTTCAGGGATCCCCAGCGCCCCCCGCCCCGCCCCCACCCCATCCCGGCAATTTCAGAACAGAAAAACGCCCTGAATGGAATGCTTCATTCACAGTGGTCTCTGTCCTGCCTTATTTTTTAATTAAAAAATGAATTAATTAAATCGCTGGAAATATCAGTCGCTTCCCTTGCCTGTGACAAGACCACCGGAAGCTTTTAAATTGGTTTTGCTGGGGGTGTGGACACCATCGCACCTTTACACTGAGCTCAGGTTTGCATTCGCGCCTGCGGAGGGGGGGGGGACCCTGGCGGGGGGGCTGCCAAAATCAGAACAATTGTTAAGTTAAAGAAATGGGTGTATTGATCTGGTTTTAAACAAAATCTACACATATTAGTGTTTACCCGAGAGGGGATCCAATGTTATCGCTAACGTAAGAGCCATATAAAATAATAGAGAAAATGTGGGTTCTTCAAAATTTTTAAGATAAGTTCTCTTTTAGTGCCTTTTTTTTAAATTAGAAGGACATTTTGCTCAATTTCAACTTTTTCTGGGTAAGTTTTTACACTACCTGCCCCCAGTGAAGAAAACTGTTCATTGACTTCCCTCCGAACGTAGCTGAGTGTCACCAAGCCGCCGCATCCCCGAACAGTAAAGGCTCAAAGGAAACGGAGGAAAAGCCCCCTCCCCTGCGCAAGGGCGCCCGCAGCCGGACCAGACCCCCCCTCCCGAGGCCGCGCTTCCCGCTCCCCTCCCCCGCCGGGAATTAGGGTCACGGAGATTCCGGGTCCGGGAGGGTAATTACCCCCGGCTCGCGCCTCGGAAGCGGTGGGTGGCCCGCGCAGGGAGCAGGGGGCAGGGCGCAGGGGGCAGGGGGCAGGGAGCGCCCGCCGCCCGGCCCCCGCCCGGGGCACCCACGCTCGCGCCGGCCGCGGGCACGCCGGTGCCTCGCAGCAGCCGCCGCCGCAGCAGCCCGCGCACGAGGGCGGCCCGGCTGCTTTTTCATTCATAAAATCCCGACCGGGCGGCTGCCCCGATGATTTATGGGGCTGCGCGCTATAGCCGGGCGGCCGCGGCCCCGGGGGGCGGGGGTCCGAGCCCCGCGGGCGCCCCGGCGCGGCCCGAGGCGGCCGGCGACGCCGAGGGGCAGCGGGTCATCAAGAGGCTCGCCCACTCCTGCAAGACGGGCTCCGGGTCCGGGAGGGAGCTTCCCCCTAACCCGGGAGCAGGACGGAGGAAACTGGAATTAGCATGAGCCAATGGGGGCGCGGCGCTGTTACTAGGCGGGCCGGGCAGATCTCGACGAGGAACTTCGTTGAGTTCCCCGCTCAGGGACGAGCGCAAAAGTGCAAGCCCGGCCGGCGAGCGTGCACAGCCGTCCAGGAACCCGCGGGGGAGGCGCAGGAATTCGGGGCCTGGCGGGGAGCGCCGGCTGCCCAGCCCCCACCCCGGGGAGCCCAGATACGCGGCCTCCGGGCTGCCGAGGGGGCCGCCGAGGGGGCCGCCGAGGGGGCCGCCGGCCCCGGGCCCTTGAGGGCGGCTGCTTCTAGGACAGCCGAGGACGCGTTTTTAATTTTTTTTCCCAAAGAGAAAAGCAACTTTTTAAAGACTTTACTGTCGCAGTTTTAATTTTGCACTGCCTAAAAAAAAAAGAAAAAGAAAAAGAAACGCAGCACGAGGCGGGCACTGCGCCTTCTGGGCTCGTTTAAAGCGCTCTGCGTTTATTTCCCGGGGACCATTTGGAGACAAAGGGGCCAGCGGCCCAACAGGGAAGGCACCGCGCTGGTAGGAAAGAAAGTCCAAAAGGAACTTGAATCACCTTCCCGCTCTGCTCGCCTCCCCCCGCCCCCGGGGGGGACCGCGGCCGGCCGGGGCGGATCTCCGGCCCCGAGAGGGCGAATTCCGCGGCGGCAGGCGTGTTTGCCACCGTCCCTGGCTGTGGGAACCTTCATTGAGGCGGGGGAAGGGAGCGCGTTCATTCAGGAACCGGCCCGCCGCGGCGCCGACCCCTGCGCGCTCTGCGGCTGCGCGTCGCCCCGCGGGGGGCCGTGGGGAGGGGGCGCTGGGCCCGGCAGAGGGCTCCCGGGGCCCCGACCTCGCGCAGCCGCGCCCCCCACCCCCGCCACACCAGGGGCCCGAGCGGGCGCGCCCAGGCGGGATCACCTGCAGCCGCATACCTGGCGGCGACTTGAAAGCACTAAGCTCTTAAGTCGCCCCGGAAAAGGCTTTCGAATGCGGGCCGCGGGGTCCCGGGGCGCTGGGGCTCCCCTTCCCCCACCCCCCCTCGCCTCGGGCGAGCCTGGAGGCCCACGCGCTGCCCTGTCCCCGCCGGCGCTACGCGGTGCGGACTCCCCTCGCTCCCAAGCTGCGGGGCTCACCTGGGGCAGCCGCACCTCCCGCCGCCCCTGCCCGCGGACCTGCGTTTCCGCCCCCGATCAATTAATTTCTGCCACACACAGACCCACCCCCTCCGCGCCCCCGAGCCGGGGGCCTGGCAGGGCGCGGGGACGGGACACTCCTCCCCCAGTTCTGCAGGCCTCAAGCAAGGTGTGCCCGGGGTTATAAAGCCAACCCCAACAGGTGGGGGGGGGGGGCAGCTTACAAAGCCTCTGGTTGCCCTGGGGAGAAGGTGCCCTCTTAGGCGGGAAAGGAGATCTAACTCCTTGACCTTCGTCCCTCAAAGCGCATCGCCTGGTGCCCTGAGCGATATGAAACCCCAAAGTTCACTAGGAATTCCCTGGCCTCCTGGCTCAGGGCCCCTGGCCCGTCTCTAGCCAAGTGCCGCGGAGTGGGGCGCCCAGACTGAGATCACCACCTCCAACCCAAGCAAAGAAACCGGTTGGGGGGCGGGGGTGATGACCTAGGTGGCCAAGTCCCATGCGCGTCTCCCTGGGCCAAGGGGGCCCGCGGCCTACCTGAGGCGGAGCTGCCCCCCGCCCCTGCTGAGCGCGCGGAGCGCCCCTGCGGACACTCGCGGGGCGGGGGCGGGGGGGAGGTAGGTAGCCCGCGGGGCGTCTCGCCGGAGCCGCACCTTCCCGGAGGAGGACCCGCGCTGAGACCCTGTGGGCTCCCCCAATGCCCCTCCCTCCTCCAGGGGAAGGACCCGACGTCCCCCCTTTCGCCCGGACGACTGGCCACTCGCTCCCCATCCCCGCGCTTTCCCGGAGACTGTTGGGATGTGACCGCATCCTCGTGCCTGCTTCCTGGTGCCCTTGGAATGCCCCAGAGCGTCTCCATCCTTCCCTTCGGCCTTGGGGGTGGGTGGAGGCGTGGTGGGCTCTTTATTATGCGGCGCCTCCGAGTTCTGGGGCTCCAGACACTTGCAGGAGGGGAAAAGGAAAGGACACGCTTTTCCAGGTGCGGGGAGAGGGGTCGCATACCCAACGCCCTCCACTCCTGCGCTTAGGTCCCTTGGCCTCCTGCCGTCGGGAGGACGGGTGGCGGGGCGTGGACCCTCGGGGAGTTCGGGCGTGCGGAGTCCGAGGCGCCCGAAGGGCCGCGCTCCGTCCCCACACCCCCCAGGGTGCCGCAGGGGGAGTCCCGGCGGACCGGGCAGGGGCTGGGGTGCCGCGCGATTGCGGAGAGGTGGGAGGCGAGGGCGCGCGCCGCGGGAACCCGGGCCTTGGCTCGGGAGGCGCGCGGGACTGCGCCGCGCATTCCGCACATTCCCGCCCGGCCTCGGTTCCGCCGCCACGTGGTTGCTCTGCGCGCCGCGCTTACCGTAAGGCTTGGAGAAGGCGCGCACGCCCGGCTCGCCAGCGCGTGCGGACCTCCCAGGGTGCGGGACGCCGAGGCGTGGTCCAGCCGCCCTGCCCGCGTCCGTAGATCGGGGCTCTTGTTTTGTTCGGTTTTGTTTTTAACGTAATAAGGAGAGTTGTGCTGCTGGAGTGATGACGTATTCATTTGTAAAGGCGGGCCGGGAGAGTCTCAGGCCCCGGTGGTGTTTGTAATCGGGTGACTGTCCATCTGAGGAACAGGAGTGACCACTGTGTCTTCCCAGCGGTGACAGAGCCGGAAGAGGAACTGCAGCTTCTGATCGTTTTCTTCTCCTTTTCCTTATTATTCAAAAGCAGTGGGCGGCACAGCCCAATGCTCTGCACAACTGGTAAGCCCAATCTGGGAGGTTCCTCCCCCGTCAAATAAACTGGCTAGAACTATTTTTTTTCTTTTCTTCTTTTCTTTTCTTTTTCTTTTTGTAAAGCCCTGAAAGGTCTTTTTTTTCTGAAGATTAGTTCAAGGTAAA